AAACTGAAAGTGTGACTAGCTTTTTTGACAGCATTTCAGCCAGATCGTGCAGTTCTCTATGAGATGGGTTTGCAATGTCAGAACCCCTTTTTAGGACCTCATGTGATAATATCCTGAGTGATGTTAGAACATAGCATAAGATGACTTGGAATATATAGAATTGGCTGAGAGGTAACCAATGCTGTAATAGGTACATAGTGTGGACAGGGAGGGATACTGATTTGCATAGCATAGAGACAGCAGTTCCTGACTGAGTTTTATTTTAGCCTATAGATAAAAAAACTGCCTCTCTTGTGTCTTATTAACTTTAATTGGCATAACCCTATTATCCAACTGTGCCAATTTGACCAGGATAGTCCAAATTAATCCACCTTTAAAATATCCCAGTTTCATATTCTTCTCCCATTTTCTGTTTTCAGCTTTCCCCAATCGCTGTGAATAAACAAAGCTCAAAATATGAAGAGTAGCTTGCCCTCAATTAACTCAGCAGAAAAGAGAGGAAGCGGACATAATCTTGCCTTTTCCATCAGATTCAGGCAAAAGCAAAGCTCTGCAGCCTTTGTTACCTTCACCATCAAGAGTCCAGAAGGTAAGAGCTTTGAGACCAGCATTCCTGCTGCTGCCTTCTGGCCTACAAAAACTACAAGAACTTCCGCCAAGCTAGCCTTACCTACACACTGGAAGTGGCTCCCTACAGCTGCTGTGGCTTCCACTTCAGGGCAGCTGCAGTTGGGGGTGGGGTCATTGGACCCTTTAAGAGCCTGCTGTGCTCAGTGGCAGAAACAGTCCAGAAGGTAAGAGCTTCGACATCAGCATTCCTACTTCCTGCCTTTTAATTGTTTTGTAACCCATCTCTAGCCACAAACAGAGGCAGGTAAATAATAATAATAATAATAATAATAATAATAATAATAATAATAATAGGTATTATTATTATTATTATTATTATTATTATTATTATTATTATTATTCATTAATAACTTTTATCATCTTGATCACACTCCAATGTTGCTTGGCTAGATGTGTCCTGGATTCTATCTGTAAAATGTTAATAGGTATGCATAACAGTAAAAACATGTCATTGGATATTAATGTTAGGATTGCCCAAGTGGTTATGTTTCCATTTTCTAGTTATGGTTGTGAAAACTGGACAATGAGGAAGGCTGATAAAAAGACAATAAATTCATTTGGAATGTGATATTGGGGAAGAGTTCTATGGATATACGGACTGCTAAAAAGACAAGTACGTTCTAGATCAAATTAAGCTTGAGCTCACCGTAGAATCGAAGCTGACTAAATTGAGACTGTCATACTTTCATTATATCATGAGAATATATGATTCAGTGGAAAAGACATGATTCACTAGAAAAGACAGAAGACAGTATGAAAAGAGAAGGACAGCAAAACAGACGTAGTGACTCAATCAAGGAAGTATGATGCTGAGTCTGCAAGATCTGAGTAAGACTGTTGATGATAGGGTGTCTTGGAGGTTTCTAATTGATAGGATTACCATAAGATTAAGTCATCCCGACAGCAGTTAACAATAATAGTGCATGTAACTTCTGAGTACTTCCTGATAGCCACTCTTCTTTTGTTTTCAATGTTTTCTACCACCCCATCCATCATCTGCTATTTTTAAAAAAGAGGCAACAAAAATCCACTGCGCACTCTGGATAAAGACTGACTGTTATCAGTAAGGAGAAGCCACTCAAGGTTGCATTACCTACAAGAACTGAAAGGGCAAGAGACTGGAGAACAAAATGTTAAGCAGCATAATGCTGTGGTATAGAAATGGGACCAAAAGCACATATGTACGATATGTATGTATACATTTTCTTCTTTTTTAAGATTTGGTGTTTTCTATTTGAAAGGCATACTCTGTGCAACTATGGTTGAAGCTTAATATCTCAGGCTTAATGATTTCACTGGGGCCGGACTCTTGCAACTTCCTCCCGTCACATTTGAAGGAATCGTTCCTAGGCTTGAACTTGAAAGCTAAGTTAGTCATCTGACCAGTCAAAAGGCCAAAACACTATAAGGATATCGTAGGGTTGGTTGATGTTGGGTTCCAGCTGTTGTTGAGATGAATTGTGGGGTTCCTGTGTTCCTTGCAATGGCATCAGATAGGTCTAGTGCTATGTGAAAAATTCTTTGCCTGTGCTGTCATCATTTAGGCCCCTTTCTGCACTGTCTTTATATCCCAGAATCTGATCCCAGATTATCTCTTTATCCCAGATTATATGGCAGTGAAGACTCATATATTCTAATTCAAAGCAGATAACTTTGGGATCAAAACAGTTGCAATCAAAACAGTAGCACAATTCTGCGAGGTATGTGGCTGATGGTTTCATTTTAGAGTGGACCTCATTTTGGAATATACAGTTTATGTGGCTGGTATCTTTTTTGTCACATCTGAAATCTTCAGTTAAGTGATGCAGAAGGCTCCCACAATGCATATAATTTTTTTCTTGTTTGGTTGGTCGTTGAAGGGCAAATACGGAGGACCTGCTATGGAAGCATGGGATCATAGTTTTACATAGTTTTTAACCACCTCTGCTAAAGAATGTTGGTGCCTCACTTACTGGATTCCATAGCAGTGAGCCATGGCAGTTAAATTGGTGTCAAACTGCATTAATGCTATAGTGTAGATTCAATCATTTGTTGAACAGTGAGTGTTCAACACATAGGTAAATCTAATTGATCCAATGGTTCCATTCTAAGAATAGGATTTAGGCCCCTTCTACATTGCCATAAAAATCCAGATTATCTGCTTTGAACTGGATTATATGGCAGTGTAGGAGGGACCATAGGCTCTCACTATAAGCTTTTCCCCAATCTTGGTGCTATTATAAGGAGCCCCCGGTGGCGCAGTGGGTTAAAGCACTGTGTCGACAGGACTGAAGACCGACAGGTCGCAGGTTCGAATCCGGGGAGAGGCGGATGAGCTCCCTCTATTAGCTCCAGCTCCTCATGCGGGGACATGAGAGAAGCCTCCCACAAGGATGATAAAACATCAAAAATCATCCAGGTGTCCCCTGGGCAACGTCCTTGCAGACGGCCAATTCTCTCACAACAGGAGCAGTTGCTCCTGACACGACCAAAAAAAAAAAGGTGCTATTATATGCAATATATAAAATATACAAAAATAATCCAAAGTGCCTGTATGAATTGAGACCACTGTTTTTAATAAACATTTTTTAAAGTAAGTGAGTAGAGGCATAAAGTAATAACATTAAATATAAAGAAATAAACATATAAGAATGATACAATAAATAAATAAGTTTGAATTGACCTGCAATATAAATACTACATTTTGCAAAATACGAATAACATCTGCATAGTGGTATCTCACTGGATTTTAAAATATTTTAAAATATATATTTTTCAAAATAAGCTATATATTTTAACTGAAGCGAGATCACATAATTTAGAGTTATTTCCCCTTCTTTTTTGACAGTTTTTTTTAAAAAGTTTCCACCCCAAGACAGAACTTGCTGATAGGTGATATCGCCATCAATGGAAGAACAGTCACCAATTGAAATATCAGAGAATTTACAGGAAATGAAGAAAATGTTACAATAGTTTGGCAATTTCTTGGGTCCGCCTTCATTCCATTTTCTATTTTTCTTTTGTAGTCCATCTACTGTTGCCTTCCACAATTCAAAACTTCTGTAGATGTTGTCATATTCAACACAACTATTAGTAGAGGATTTGGGTATTTTCTTCAAGTTTCATTCATTCACAGTTGAACTTGTTTCATCAGAGACTTCAGGCTGCAAAAGTGAAGAAAATCAGTTAGAATGGTTATTAATTTTCAATATGGTATGTTTTGAATAAGGGCACTTTTAAATATAAATAACAGAAATATTTGTAGAGAATTGGTTAGATTTCATAATGGATGTTTGAAGGCATTTCCTAAATTTTAAATGAGAGTTTGAATGTGTATACATTGTATTTCTGAAGACCTTTTTAAAGATGGACTGGAGTTAATATGCAGTTTTGTCCAATTTTATATAGCCAAAAATCAAGGCTTTATAAAGCCCTGATTAAAATGACCAACTTGTTTGCTGTTCTAATATTACCAAGGGAAGTATTTGGTCCATCTTCATTCACCTGAGAATCCAGAAATGTTAAAGGATTTGCCAAGAAAAATCATACACATGACATCTGCTGCTCATCCGAGCATGATGTCTTGCATTTTGGTTACAAGAAAACATTGAGGCAAATCTTTATACTTGCTAAGTTTTCAGTTGTGTTCAGAGCTATCATATATGAGCAATAAAAAAAACCCTTGATATGAAGAACAAAGATTTCTGTTGATTGACTATAGTTTAAAAAGTCACCGTTGTTTGTAAGTATAATTATAAGAAATACATAGTACCTTCATTTGGGATCATTTGGATTAGTTTATCAGTCCAGAGAAAACATTGCTTGACTTGCATTTGGACAATCTCCCAGGCGCACCGGCTGTACCCTTTTTCTTTCAGGAGGTTGCTTAGGCTTCGGAAGTATTTTTTCACTTTCAGGCTGGTGAGCTGGATTCTCTGACTCCTTGGAGATGCACTCAGGCAACTCTTCAGGTTCTCACTTTGTTGATCCAGTCCAGCATGGAAAGCTCTCAAGGAATTCTCATCCCACGGCATTTCAGTGTTGTTCTGCTTGAAGATGTCACCTGTCTGTTGGAGGACTTCTTGGATGGCCACCTTGGCATTCTCCTCCTCAGATACATCAAGGTGTTTCAGATATGTTTTAGGAGAGAAATTGAAAACATCGTCGAAGCATTGTTGGGGAATGGTGGAAATCGTGGAATTCATCTTGCTGTTCAGAAGTTCCAGGTGGACCTGGTTGGCTTGCCGTAGCCTGCTGCGAAGTTGGTCACAGTTCTGAGATGAGACTTCAGTTATGAGGACCATGGCCAGGCCAACATGCAAAAGCCAGCCTTTCGAGATCATGATATAGGCAATGAATGGTTGTCTCTTCTGGAGTGTAGAATCTGAAAGATGGGGTCTCATGGAAGATGCCCTGGTGTGTGTTGCATTCTCCAGCCATGGCTTTGTATTTAAACACTTGGGTCTCCAGTTTCTGCTTTTGTGTTTCTGTTTATTGAAATTTCCCCTTACCCTCACAAGAATAGTTTCATTTTCCTCTTTTGTTTCCTCCTCATTTCTTTTCTCTTGACATATCAGTTTTTAAAATTCCTAGGCCAAAATAACTTTTTTGAAATCAAATCTCCAGACAAGAGGGATTACTGTATATACAGTAATCAAATCAAATCTCCGGACAAGAGGGATTACTGTATAAGCCAACCCAAATATAAGCCGAGGCACCTAATTTTACCACAAAAAACTGTGAAAATGGATTGACTCGAGTATTAGCTGAGAGTGGAAAATGCAACAGCTACTGGTAAATTTCAAAATCAAAATAGATACCAATAAAATTACATTAATTAAGGCATCAGTAGGTTAGATGTTTTTGAATTTTTACATAAAACTGCAATTTAATATAAGACTCCCCAACTCTGATTAAACCATGATTCTAACCTTCTTCAATGTAAATGTGCTTACGTATCCTCCCAATAATAATAGAGTAAAATAAAACATGTAATAATAATAATAGTGTAAAATAATGGAAATGTAATAACAGTAATAATAAAGTAAAATAACAAATGTAATAATAACAATATTGGAATAAAATAATAAATGTAATCATAATAACAATAATAAAGTATAAAATAAAACAGTAAATTTTAATGTGAAATCATGATTTTTCTCTCAGAAGGGGTCTTGTTTGGCAAATTAGAAAGCATTAATTAAGCCTGCATTCTGTCTCTTTTTGGTATATTGCTGTGATAGGTGCTCAAGAATTTTGATCTAAGTCTAATTTGTTCTTGCCAATTTTAAGAACCACATGTTGTCATTCAACTAATCGCATGTCTTTATTTTTTCCTTTCCTAACTCTTACTTTGGGAATATAATCTCTTTTGGAGGGAGTGGCATAACGTTTTGCATTTGCATATGCAGGTTCTCATAAGAGTAGCTTTCCTGCACATTACATAAACTTGACTTTCTTGTAAAAAAAAAGGAAAAAAAAAGAAATCCCAAAGATTCATAAATATTGCAGTGCCTTTTAAAAGAGCTTCTTAAAAATTGGCCCTGGCTGGTTTTGTAATTTTGTTTTAAAAAAATTATAAACACATACTATATCTACACTGCAGTATGTTTCATGAATTATTCTTAATTCCCAATATTTATAAAGTGAAAGACTTGCTTTTAAAGAGCAATGGCAAAGAAGTTCATTTTAAGG